CAGCGGGTCAGAGCCGCGGGGCCGCCGTGCCCGGCGAGGCCGCGAACTGCTCCGTGTCTGCACTTCATTCCCGTTTGCCTGGACTGGCGCCAGGCTCGGCCCGTCAGAACCTCCGGGCGTAAAGCCCGGTCTGAGGAACAACCCTTCTGATGAGGGCTGTCAAGCCTCCAGTTAAATTTTGTCGGACGAGTCTTACGTTAAATGAATTGTTTCTCCTTTAAGCTAAACTGACTCGGACTTTCTCACAACAGGCAGGGAGTTACGCCCGGCGAGCTTCTACCGGCACAGGTACCGAGTCAGAGTAACAGCCCGTGGTTGCAAAGGTTAGTTATGGCACGTGCTTAGCCTGGGAGTTATTTAACACAGCACAAAACACGGCAGAAGCTGCATCTAGAGTACTTTCTCGAAAGAGGCGATAAATTTGAAGCACAAAAGGAATCACCAGAACGTTCTCACTTCAGCAGGTTTCCAAAAGCTCCTTAGCCGGTTCAGAAAGACTGGATTCAGTGCAACAGCAGCCCTGAGAACGGACTCGCGCCACGGAAGCGCGAAGCTGTTTCCTGGCTTCTCCAGAGGTACGAAGCCTGTCCGTTCGTTAACGGGCTCTGCCAGACAATCCCGGAATTAAGCCAGCACTGCAGGCGCTGCCGCCTCGCTCCCCATCCGCTCGTGCTGAGCCACCGCGCCACAACCGCCACGGGGTGACCTGCCAGACGGCGGCGGCCCAGGGCACGGACTTAGAGTTTTGACACCACTGGGTCAGGAATATTGCAGGAATGATATTAAATCCTTAATGTTCTGCAATTTTAAAGCAAGCAGCGCTGAACGGAAGCGCTCTCTTCCTGGTTACGAACTAGCGCTGTGTGTGAAGAGCCGGTCCTAAGGGAAAGCCCTGACTCAAAGGTAGACCTGTCAACCTAAAAGCTGGAAACGGAGGACTCCGCTCTGAAAACGTTTACATTTACAGCAGGCGTGGAACAGAGACCTACAGCAGCCATCTCCGAAGTGCGTAACTGAGACCGTCTCGGAGTTTACAAGACAGAGTTGGAAAAGTGTCTGTGCAAGGAACAGTGACACCGACAGGAGAAAGCAGAAGAGTTCGAGAGAAGGGAAAGTGATTCAAAACGGAAACGTTTTCCTTCATCTCCCACAGAGAAAAGTCTGAAATAAACTCACTTTCCCATTGGGCTGTTTTGGGGCACTCTCTTTTGATACGGTTGTTTTAGTAGTAGCCATTTTAGGGACCGCATTGGGTTCAGACTTTCGTGCAGCAGCAGCTGATTCTGGCTTTTTCTCCATTTTCCCCTAGATGGAGACAAATGGATGATTTCAACCAGCAAAAGCAAAAGCGTGGGCAGGAGGGTACGGGAACATGAGCTACCCAGATAAACCTAGTGGCACAGAGGTCCCGAGAGAACTTCTCACACGCTGTAATTCCCAGGCGAAGCACCACCCCACGCCTAGGAACAGCGGAACCAAGGGCTGGAGGGGAAGCAACATCACGCAGACGCGGGACGAAACGGGCACCCTGGGGTCACAAACAACAGTTAAGGTCTCCATTTCTCATGAAGCTCAGAGGTGCCCTTCACCAGTATCTCCTCATTTCCCCAACGGTCACGGTGGCAGGTCTCCAGGTGACCCCAGTGTGTTATATTCTGCCAAAAAATTAAACCCGGTCTTTCAGTAACCCAACAGCAGCGCAGGACCACCTCCCGCACGTGGAGGACATTATACAGATCTTCGAGGCAAACACTGGCTGATTTTCTCTGCCTTCGAGCTGGAAGAGCTCTACGGGATACAGATACGCGGTGCTTCCAGATCTGGTTTTGCACCCACACACCGATTTGACTCAGGCCTTGAGATCACCAGCTGATTTAGTTTTTAATTACTCAAATGCAGGTGGACCTAGCTGATCCAGCTTAGATAACAGAATGACAATTTACAGATTTTTAGAAAAAAATAAATCAACAGCTATTTGAGAATATCCATTCTTCTGCTAATCTAGATCCAGGTAAGTGCAGCAGAGCTTGCATTTTTTGGGGGTCAGCATAAATCCCATATTTCACTAACCTAACAGCAACAGAATGTTAAACAAAAAAAACCCTGGCACTCCTGAGGCATTCTCACACGCTAAAAACATCCCAGCGTAAATAAGGCTAATGAAAAGGACAATTTTCAGGATTTAACACCTCTATGAAAATATTTAGAAAATAAAGGACAGTACAATTAAACATAAAAATAGATTCCCTTAAACCAACACAATAACCCTGTAAGCTAAAAACCTCTGCAATCCTCAGAACCCTGGCACAGTTTAAGATAACAGAGCGGTCTTACGTGCTCTTTTTGACCAGACGGCAGGCGGCTTTCTGAACTCCTCCCTGGTTTCAAGCTACAACATACAGTATATGAGAGGGTCACCCTCCTGCTTGCTTCAAAGCTTTGTCAGCAGACGTGGCTTGTCATTCCCAGAAGCTCCGTTTTGGGAGTGGAAGTCTCTGTCCTCCAGACCTCTAAGCTCCGAGGACTGTACTGCGGTACTGTACAACTAAGATACTCTCAGCGCTGACGAATAATCCACGCTGTATCGATGCTGTCTGCGACACACAACACAGCCCAAGAATGCCCTTGACTAATGTGCCTAAGAGGAGAGGAAGGCTCCCAGCACGAAACGTGCTCTCTTGGCACCAGATTAAAGTTATGTGTCGATTTATTCATTACTGCAGACCTGTGGGCAAACTTGTTCCACTTGGTGGAAATTAAAGCCCTCTGACTACGGGCAAGCTGCTAACACATTTGGTCAGGCAAAGATGAGTGTATCCGTTATACAATATCCACGATATATGATTATGCATATCCACAAAATTATTTAAACCCTCAGAAGAGGGCTACAGGTATATCCCTAAACCTTTATCATTTACATGGTAGACAGTCACAGTCAAAGTGCAATTTAAGACCGTCACTGATTGAGAACCTCAAGTTATATCTATGCATATGCTTTTCCCTACAGTGACCTGTAGGGTCACTACCCTCTTTTCTTGTGGCCACCATAAATTTATCCAAAGACCAGCGTATGTAGACCCATTTCATTTCAGTTTTAGGCCTGACAAGTTGAACAGAGTCCCCGTTCCTAGACCTGGGAAAGGTGCTGTGGAACTTGCTCCTGAATCCAGATTTCCTGCATCGTAATGCATTATTCTACCTTCTGTACCATTCAGCAGACAATTCCTCTACTCAAAGGCAAAGTTTTGGAACACAGACAAGATTTTGAGCTTTCAATACCAACTAGTTTCTATGTCAGGACATACAACAGAAAAACAGAACCACAAGAGTTCTGAATTCCTGTACGTATGCCAGTAAACACCATGAAGGCTCTTAAGGCGGATTCCTTCTGTACACTACTATCACTGCCTTGTTAATGCCTTGTGCATAAACCAAGACCCAGAGAGGAGCTCTGCAGAGCATAAATGAGAAGAGCAGTGAGGACACAGCCACCAAAATTAGCAAAGAGCACCCATAATGCTTAAGAGCTACTGTTCCAAAGCACATATCATTATCAAGTTTGAAGAAACTTACCTTTCCTCCACCAGGCTGATGTTTAATATTATCTGTTGATCCAATTTTGGAACGTACATTTTTCAGATCTGGAGCAGAAACACTGCTGGTCGGGCGAGGTGGCTTGGAAACAGTGCTGGGTTTAGTCGGAGCCTTAGCGGTTGTTTTTTTAGCATCTGCTGTTGCGGTTGAGGTTGCGGTGGGTTTGGTTGCAGCAGGCTTGGGTTTGGGACGACTGGTAGCTACTCCAGGTAAAGTAGGTGCGCTGGAGGTGGTGGTAGGAGTGGTGGTGCTACTTTTTACCGCATTTCCAGTAGCACTCTTAGGGCGGCTCAAGTCTGCTACAGTTATCGCAGTGATAATTGAAGGGAAGGGGAGGAAAAGATGGGTGTCAGATGGCATTCACACAAACATCCTCAGAGTCCTGAAGATGTAAGTGGTCCGCTTAACAAACAGAGCCCCGAACAAGAAGGATCTGATGTAGATGGAAACTGAACAAAGTTACCTGATGGTGACTTTGCAGGGGTCTTCTTGGCATCCGCAGGCTTCCCATCGGTCTTGATAGCTGCCCAATACAAAGCACGCTGATTAGTATTTCAGAGTGGGAGCCAGTCTGCACAGGTGAGAAGCCTGGGATCCCGGCACAGCTTCCCCTGGAGGTCAGGGGCTCTCCGCAACTCCTCACGTGCCAACGGTCCTCTTTACCATCCTCTCCCCATTTCTAACATGCTGCTTCAAAGAAAACATCTCAAGAATTAACTACTCTGAGCACCTGGCTGAGGTCCTCCTCCTAACAGCAAAGCCCACTCAGGTCTTCCAGCAAAAGGATCATCATTCAATGATGCAACACACCTGGGGTATGGTTTGCATTTTGTTTTTTCTTAAAAATAACTTTCTGAATCTGACAGCACTCACTAAGATTTGTTTTAATCCCATCCCTATTTCATTTCTTAAAAAACTAAACAAACCCCAAAACACAGCTCCTTTCTTTACTAAATAGCAAAAGCAAACCCACATTTATCCATCTATAACCTTGGTCGCATTGCTAGATCAGTCCTAACCCATGCCAATTTTCTTGCACATGCTTTGTCCCCTATTATAATTGTATAAAATAGTATAAAACCAAAAGAACTACACCTTCGGGCAAACACCAGTGATCATGACCTCATTACATTCCACATAGACAGAGGACAGTCTAAACCAGGAACGCATCTGTATTTCTCAAAGCAGAAGAAAATCATACACAAAGTTGATCAAGGCAAAAATCATGGACTGAAAAAGATAAACAGAACCTTATTTTAAGGACCTCTTGGTAAAAAAGCTACAATTTCCTTATCAGTGATGAACAACTTTGGCTAACATCTGCTTCATTTCAATAGCCAAAGAAAGGCAACATTAAAAACAAACAATACATTGAAAAAAATCTAAGTTTGAAATTATGAAAATCCCCATCTTCTAGTATTTAATTTCCATTAACAGTCTTAGATTTTTAGATACACTCAAGTAGCTGGCAGGGTACTGTATGGGATACCAGCAGAGAAAAGAGCATGCGAAAGAAGCAGATAGCTATAGGCCAAGTTAGTCTGGATCATTCCACCCTGACTTTGCAAAGAGCATCCAATTAAACACCACAGATAAGATACTAGCTAATGAGATGAAACCCATCTGGATAATTTAATAAGGCCTAAAGGATAGATATATAATTAATACTAAACACTTCAAAAAAGGTCCTGTCAAACCAACCTAAGCCCATTCCTTGAGACCACTGTTTTAGTTGGGAACACTGCATGGACAGAACAGACTTAGTTTTATATAAAGGCAAGAGGACTAATATGTTACTTTTATATATAAAGATATGTTATTCCTGCTCATGTCAGCGGGGAGCCAAATGCCGGAAGAGTTTTGTCTGTCATAGCATGCAATGTTGCAAACATGGAGAACGATAAACCTACTGGGAAAATGGTCTAGAATGAGTGTCAAAGACTTTGATCTTTTTCTGATCTGAAAGAGATAGAGGTGGTCTCGCACAAACATAAAAGTCATTTTCACAGGGAGGGGAAAAAACTAAAACAAAACAAACAAGCAAAATACTAAAAACCAAAAACCCAGGCACCCCATAACCCATGGCTCTCATTTAGCAGAGAGAGTGACTGACATTTAACACCTGAAAAAGCGAAACCATGTAATTTCAAAACAAGTCACTATACACACATTCTTAAACAGCGAGAATGACCAAACACTTGAGCAAACCACAAGGAAGCGAGTGTCTATCTTTTGACACGTGAGAAGCAAGAGCAGATGTCCTTCCGAAATACCATCTTTAGCCAAAAAGTTATTACCTGGCTCAACGCTACGTAATGAGAAACTAAACTGTGATCAGAAGAGATCCAGGTCTCCACCACCTACATCTATGCATCTGGCATCACCGTGCTCCACCTGAGCCGAACTGTTCGTGCTTGGCTCGCTGCCGTTCCCCGCCAGGCCCCACAACACTGTTCATCCTCTGTCACACCCTTGCTCTCTCCTCTTCCAAAACAGGACTCTTTCCTTTTACCATTCACGACTCCTCTGTGCATTTCCAGATCCAGACAAAACAGCTTTCACTCCTGAGGGAGCTTCTCCAGCTGACCTCATCTCTCCCTCGCCCACCCAGCTCTCACTGTACTTTGGCAACGTCCCACCACCCTCACCGGTGCGGAAGCCTCTTCCTCTGTACATCTTGCCACTTGGAACAGCCTTCCTGCATCTCTGCATCATTGACTCCATCTCTTTTCAAATGTCATCATAAAACGCTTCTTTGTTTGTGTCTCAAATTTGGAAGGAGAAATTAACTGAACTCATTAAAACATGTTAAGCATTCTGGGCTACAGTTTGCATAAAAGACCACACAAAATGAATTTTACAAGGATGTCCACAGGACCAGTTAAGATACGTGGCTCTTGGAAAATGCAACCCTTCCTCTACGCTTGATTAATTATATTTTCCCCCAGAGCATAAAGTATGCAATGTATATCTAGCCTAATATATTTCAACATGGTTAAAACATTACTGCTCTTTTGGGAAGGGCGGGTTATGAGTTCATGCTTTGGGACTCATAGAACAAAGCAACCCATACGTATTATTAGTTTTACATGTTTATTGGCAAATTCCGCCCATGAGGTCTAGTCATTTGAAAAGACTTGAGAACATTTAACTGTTTTTTTATTTGATGTTAAATCTCTCAAGCTCCATTAAAAGGAGTGAAAACAGTGTTTTTAAGATGCTAATATGCTGCTGGTGTTTCATGCTGACTGTGTTAAACTCATGGGAAGTTGCCTCTTTGGCAACAGTAGGAGTGGGATAGAGTTTTCTGATAAAGCTGATGTGATTTCAGCTCCAAATTCTTCCTGCATTAGTAAAAACCCTCCACTTCTCTTCAACCTTTTTTGTTTTTCAGATGCTCTAGTTTGAGCGCTTCGAGTCCTCTTCTGGAGATTTGCTTTTCCCAAGTTTTAAATTGGTCTTAGTGTTTATTCTAACTATTACTATGGCAAAATACAGCGGTGACGGCATCCTTTTTCTTAAATCAAGTATCTTCAGTAACTGTGCTAACCCTGAATCACACAGAGCTGATCCAAGTTGGCCTTGAAGGTCACTCAGAATTGTTTTTGGAAGAGGAAGCCCTGGAGAGAAAAAAAAAAACAAGTCTGACCTACGGTCTCTGTGCCTTGGCACAGGGTCTCGTCTTGCGTTGTATTAAAGGAGTTGAGATGTCAGCTATCACTAAGTCAGGAGTTGACTTGAAGCTGACAGGCAGGCCAGTTTACACCTCCCAGAATTACTGGTTAACAGCAGCTGCGGCTTCTAAGCAACCACCTTTCAAAGGTTTTTTTTTTTCTTTTGAACCTGGAGATGGCAAGTTTGTTTACTAGGAGACTAATTTTAATAAACCGATGAGATCGCAGGATGACCTAAACACCGGGAAAAAAAGAGGTCAGCAGTACTGGAACACGTGAGAGAGAGACATCTTACTGTGAACCAACGGTGTATTCGAACAGAAACTTGCAGCTGGATAGGAGGAGAGATCTCCTGAAGAAAAACAAGAGAGTACTTACATGTTGGCCTCTTCGGTGGAGAAGTAGCAGTATTTTTCGCACCAGCGGCTGCAGTGACTGGCGATGCCGCCGTTGTCCTGGGACTAGCAGCGGTGGTCCTGGCGGTAGTTCTAGGAGTGGCAGATGATGGAGGCTTTGAAAGTGAGGTCCGCTTATCTGTGGTCTTCGCATCTGCAGCCTGAAAATGCACAGGCTGCGTTAAAGCCGGTATTTCACCGAACAGCCCCCTCAAAGCGTTTGCCAACAGAAAGGCTGAACTTGTTTAAATTCTTCAACACATAAGCTAGGCACCGCTGAAACGTGATAATTGTATCTTTAACCTTCTGCATTAAGGCATGCAGAAGCGACTGACTATATTCAGTGCAGGACACAGAGCACAGACCCTGCTGAGTACCAGAATTCGTTCAGATCTGTTTACAAATGTGAACGACGTTTTGATTTCTGAACAAAATGGAAATCACCAGTCCACTAGCAATACTTCTGGGAGAGATTTCACCCCTTCAGGAGCAGAAATGCTTCCTAAGCTAAGAAGGCATTTATTAAAACACCGTGAAGATACGAATTAGGTGTCTGTGGTTCGTTCCTCTCTTGGAGGACTATTTCATGTCTGTCCCTGGTAAATCACTTGTTTGTAAACTGACTGATCTCTTAAGTGTTAAAATACTGAGTTAATGCATGGCCACAAATGAGATGAGATTTTGATTTCATCAAAAGGGGATTCAGAATCCTGCAAAACTTAAAACTGAAGACACTGGTTCACAGAAAAAAAAGTACAGATTTACGCCTGTGCTTTCATACTCCGTTATTTTTGTTCAGTTAGTTTTAAAAGACACTCAAATGCAGTTATTTAAGCTTAAATGTATAGTAGATTTGCTGGCATTTAAACATCAACAGAAAGCTTCTGGAATAGATTTTAACATTCCCTTTCAAATCTGAATTCTTCTACTATATCGTATCACAAGTTAACGTAGGAAAGATTCAAGGGACGCTTCCAGTTCTTAATATTACATGTGGATGCCCTACCTCAACTTTACAACGCAACGCTAAGAACTGTCCCCAAATCTTCTCTTATTGGAGAATTACAGATCTCCAATACTTCCCAAGCACGTAAGTGTTTTACCAGTTATCTTTGTACCGTTTTTATAACGGCCAGACATAACGAAGAGACAATCAGTGGGAAACACTGAACTGTTCAAACTGAGTTTTTTCCCCTCAATATTAGTGTCAGAGCTCTCCGTTCAGTTTTCCATGCTCTCGTCTGGATTTAAGAGTTATTCTATGTTTGTGGTGTATCTATATTTAAAACACCCTCCTACTTTAGTAACGGAAAGAAATAAAGAATTATCTTGTGTGCTCCGTGACAGTCCAGAGGGAAAATCGCAATAATACAGGCAAGTTCCATTTTCTCCTCTGCGAGGACACAATGAAACGCTTGGGATCTGAAGCCAGAAGTGGGTGAATGGAAGCTGATACCAACAACTGCGCAGCTCCCATAACACAGCGAGTCACACTCCTGGTCTCACCCTCCCAGGATTAGGGCTAGGATTACGTTTTGACTCTCGGGTAAGGCAGCCGGTAAGTTAACATGTAAATAAGTTACTGGAGCTCCCAGACACAAGCAAATTGTTTCTTACCTTTGGTTTAGTCTCTTTTGGAGTTAAGGTGGAGGGACGTGTAGTGCTGGTGGCTGGGCGTTTAGTAGTAGTGGCTGAAGTAGGACCTGCAGTGGGGCTCGTGGGTTTTTTGTTTGGGCCAGGCGTGGCAGAGGCTGGCCGCCTGGGGCTGGTAGCGGACAGGGGCCTGGCTTTCGCTGCGGCAGGCTTTGTAGATGATGTGGATGCGGCAGGCTTTATGTTTTTTCAAAAAGCAAAATCCAGTATAAAACAAAACAAAAAACAACCAACAAAAAATAGCGCATTGTAAACCAAAACACTGAGCTGCAAGAACATAAAAGTGATATTTTAAATGAAACAACAAAAAAATTAGCTTTCTGTTTTCTGAGCATAACAAAAGACCAAAATGAAGCGGCAGAAGCGGGCCGCCTTCGCAGCCCGGTGGAGCTTTGCCATTCAATTCACAGCGAGCAGCATTTATTCCAGCGACATCTAAAGCAACAGGAGGAATTGCTGGCAAAGCTGGGATCAGTAACGGGGTGTTCCTGGCATCCAGTCCTGCGTGCGGTGCACAGGACTCTGCGTTCCAACCACGTGCGCGCAAGGGATCGCAAGCTCTAAACCCTCATCTGAGCCGCTCAGGCGGTCACACGTCCGCTGCCTTCAAGGGGACCGAGAACCCCTTGCCCTTACCGCTGCTCTGGGAATTTGGGTTTGGGTTTTGCTGAATGCCGCACGCTTCTGAAAGCGGGTCTCGCTCATATTTCATAAACAGCCCTAAAATAAGAGGGTATCAGATCCTGAGCAAAATCTCTGCTAACTGTAATGCAAATAAATGCATTGTAAACAACTAGGAGAGCATCAGCGTAGCAGAAGCGTTACCGTGCATGTTTACTACTTCCGCACCACCGATACCAACCAGGGAACGAATTCAAATAAAGCTTGCCACAAATTTATTAAACCCACTTTCAGTCACGCTGCTACAGGCCGAGTTGTTTGTTTGCGACTTCATAACTGAGTGTCTTGGCTTCAGTAAAACGGTCCACAAATGGCAGCTCAGAAAACAGAACTTGTCTTGCCACGGCTTAAGAAGCAGAAGAGCCGGCAAATTAAAAACGACAGAAGCGAAGATGCCAATCGTGAAACGAGGCCTACCTTTGTCTTCTTCTCGGGGCTGGGAGGAAGCTCTTTGTTGGGAGGTGCTGTGATATCGTTCCCTGTCACAGCTTCAACTGGTTTGGTCTCTTCTGGTTTTGCTGGGGTTAAAAAAAAAAAAAAAAAAAGGGGGGAGTCGTCTTAAGTTTGAGGTTTGGGGCTTTTTTTAATACATATAATTGTTTTTAGTTTACTATTATTCAACACAGTAGCAGGAGAAGACAGAACTGAGACAGTTACAGGTTGGTTATTCCTGGAAAATTTCTCCCAAACCAGAATACCTACAGGGAGAAAGATTTTCTCTGTAACAGGGCGGGTTCATCCAGACGCCATTAGCATCCACTTTCTCATTATTTCATCAGTGGGAAAGGACAGACAGCCGCTGGAGGAGACCTCTGGTTTAACTGAAATAGCAAACCTTCCCATCTTCCACGTTGTTAAAATAAAGGCTTGGAATGTTCCTGGTGCCGTTCCGACCCCTTCCCGGTTTTACACTAGGACTTGCTGGAGTAGGGCGCTGGTTTCACGCTATCCCTGTCGCTACGGCTCCCTCCTCTCGACCTCCCTTCCGCCCGCACCGGGCGCCGGGGCTCGCCGCGAGCGGGAGCCGGGCTGCCAACGGGAAAGGTCGCACCGGAAAGCGGAAACACGGACGTCTCGTTTTGACGTGCGTGGATCATACGGACCCCGACCAGCGCGGGAACCGCCGTGTCACGCTGCCGTACGCGGCGTTTCGCAGCGCGACGCTTGGGTTCAGCTACACGGGTCGCCGGCGTTTCGCTGTGATCGTTCGGTTTTGCCGCCGCCACCGCGAGGGACGGCGGACACACGCGCTCTTCCCTCGCAGCAGCGCAGCGGCCACAACCCCTGCGTCGCCTTTTAAGAGCCGGTCTCTAAGGCACGGCCCAGCCGCCCGCAGAACTACTGCCCTCCGAAGCAAGCAATAGAGCAAAACAGGGCTGCGGTAGCAGCTTCACCACATTGTCTCCCCAAATCTCACAAACCCTGCGGCAGGGCTGCCACGCTGCTTCGCGCCGCGAGACGCACCGGAGGCACCTTCCCTGTCAACAGCCTTTAAGCCCCCAGTTCTCAGCGGCGTCGCTGTACAACCGCGCTGCTGCGAGCCGCCTTCCACCGCAATTGCTGCGGCATTTGAATTCTACGAAGGACACGGTGCAAACCGCCCATCACAAATGTATGCAATTCCCTCTGTCATCTGGGGATTAAAATAAAGCCTATCTGTGCTGGACGTTTCTTCTTATAACAACGCAACGGCTTGTAGTGCTGCGGCGCATGCTAAGGACCCCCAGAAAATAGCGTAACAACTCCAGCAGTAAAACGGTTGTTTTCCGTGTCTTCTGAAAATTACTATTTCTATTGACATTTTCTTGCTTCTCAGTCTCGAAGGACAGTTCAATTCTGGTGCAGACGCCACTGTTGAAACAAGCAGAATAAACTTGTGCCTTCCGCCTGCCCCGGTGATGCTCGACAGCAGGATGGTTTTGTTGTTGATACTTATTTTTCAGACTCCAGGACAAGTTTAGCAGCTTTTTTTTTTTTCCTTGCATTGCATTAGCCTCTTCCTAGCCATTTAGTTTCCCAATAATACGAAATGTTTTGCAGCACTGGGTTTAGCATCCTAGGCATACAAAAAAAGACTTGTGAAGAAAAACCAGCACCAAAATGTACAAGCTGGACCCTGTTTTTAATGCAAAATTCTTAAGAATCATTCACGTTCACCTAGAAAGCCCATTTTTCGGTAGCTAATCTGTTTTGGCTTCTCTATACTAGTTTCCTCCACTGCGTTTCAATAAACTTTTATATACTCCCTCATTTAATTTGTCGGTTTTATCCACAGCACTACCGGAAAAAGCAATTGCTGTCGAGGGCTCCCATTTCTGAGCGGCAACCTTCTCTCCAGTCACTGCTCTCGGCTCCCGGGGCCGCACGCCTGGGCATGGCTTTATTTTGCATCCCACCAGTCTCAGATCTCTCCGACATCAAGGAGAGATCGGAATCTTCCCACCCGTTGGCAGTTGCCCTTCGTGTACTGCCCGTCGTTATTATTTCAGCTAATTCAGCGGCAACATTAAACCTCTTGCTCGATGACGGTATCACAGCATCCACGCAGCAACTTGAATTCGTCTGCTCAGGGAGCCTAATGCGGCTCCTCAAAAAACCTCGACTTCCAAAGTTTCAGGATTTAAGCTCCAGCAGCTTCCATGCTTCTGAACTATACAACAATATGAATTTGATGCTACATAATTAAATATGAGCAGTAGCTCAGGAAATTTGGAGTGAATAATTCCAACACACAACATTATCAGAGCGTACGTTAAGGTTCTACAAAACTAACAGCTTTTTTTCTTTTTTTAAATGTAAGCCAGCAATGTAGCATCACCAAGCCGACGGAGCTACACTGCAGGACAGCGCACATACAGCTTAAGCAACTTGCATCTACAAATAATAACGATAATGATAAACCCAGGAGAGCAGGGGCACGGGACCATAATCCAGGTTCCATCTCTCATGGCCTCCGACACAGCGGGTACGCAACCCCGTACACAACCCCAAGGGATTACAGAAGGATCCCTTTTGTTTTGCGCTGCCTCAGTTTGTGTCACAACCCTTTGCTTTCATTCATCGTTCAATTACGAGGGCACCCTCCGCCGTACAGAGAACTGCCTGGGAAGATTTCCTAGTTACAGGGAATGTTAGGAAAAGCTGCCAAATGTTAATCAAATTTGTTCATTAGTCTGCAAGAATTACTTAAGAAACTTTTTGGCTTGCTTGTTCCCCCAAGCACGGCGATAAACCTCTGAAAGAGACGTCAAAGCCTTTTTGTTGGAGCTCGAGCAGGGGTTGCTGCTCTCCTCCTTCCACCGCAGCTCCTGCTCCTCGCGCTGTTTGCTGACGGAGAAAATTCAGCTCAGCTGAGTCAGCACCCAGAACTGAATTACTCCTGGGGGAAAGGGGGCTTGAAGGAGAGAGGGAAGGACGTTCCACTCTGGCGTCTTCCACCGATAACCTCAAAGGCGTAACAACTCTGCGATCAGGGGTACTTTCTCCCTCTGCTACTCGCTGCAACGGCAAGCTGCGTCGTGCTGGTTTGTACATCCGTCCTCATCCCCAGCTCACCATTTCTTACTCACTAACTCTCTTTTTAACAGCGGAAATCAAAACTTTTTATGTGGGTCAGTTCCCAGTATTGCAGGGCACCACCACTTCGCAACGTCTAGGAGCGACACGGGAAGAGACATTCACGCCGAGGCGCACCAGAGGAAACAAATGACTCCACAGTAACAACCAAACCCACAAGCTCCAGAATTTTGTCTGAGGTTTTGCAGACATCAGTTACGAAGGGGCAGACTTGATAAGCCGTGCTTATGTCTCCGTTAACAGCGATACCAAGCGTCCTTCAGACACGCCCCAGCCAGCGGAAGGAGGGGCGGTCGGGATTCCTGCCGTGCGCTGTGGAGGAGGGACGCCGCGGGGTGGCCCGCCACTTCTCACGTGGACACCGCGCTTCAGCTACTTCACGTTCGTAGTGCCTATCTGCCTCTAGCTGATTTTAGACAAAACAGGCCAGTTCCCAGAAAAATCTAACGACAACTACCCCGCATATCAAAGATAATCGCAATGTTTTCCTTGACGAGGTTTCGCTCTCATCTGCTGCAGGAGTTTGACACCGGTGGATGTCAGACAAGTGCCTTCTCATACAAACATCTGCTCAAGTTCAGCGACATTATAATTCACTGAAAAAACCCCACCCTGCAGTTTGAACCCTCTTGCTAGTTGAAGCCTCATGTGACTCCTCATGTTGGCCATGACAAGTTGGCCATGACAAGTGGCCCATCTCCTAGTGCTTCCCAGGCTGCATCCACACCATCTCTTCAGCGTAGCACTGAAACTACATTTGGCAGAGGCACACGAAGGCCAACAAGTTCAAAAGCACGTTTTTAAAAAGAAATTTGTCACCAGAAGCCAGGTATTGGCCATTGCTGGATGAAGGACCCAGCAAACAAGACCACATGGTGTTCAGACAAAACTGAAGTCGGAGGGAACAAGACTCCTAACAAATGAGCAGCGGTGATTTTTCAGAATAAACAGTCAAAATGAGATGATCTGCACCAAAACTGACACTCAAAAAACCCGTAAGCTCCTTGCTATAAAGGGAGACAATACTCTTACTACAGATCTTAAAAATTATGGACATTATGGATAACATAACTCATATGTTTGTCTCTTATTAGCAGGGTGAGACATAAAAAAAACATTAATGAGGAAATTTCTAATTCTGCCTCCAACAGCCAAGTTTAAATACTGTGATGCAGAAGCGGAGGCATGTGGGGCCATCCACGCAGCTGTGGAGTAGGCACCATCTCCTGAAAGGCAATTCATCCTCATTTCTAGGTACTAGCAGCCACTCGTAACAAGTTATTTACAGAAGAACCTTGGTGTCAGAGGAGACTCTTAACATACTGTACTCTTAACCTCTTACTTCTATACATGCCGCCATTCTCTCGGTGGTTACTAGCAGCGGGTGAGTTACTATCAGAAATGTAATGCGTTATAAAGCAAATGGAGTAGATGATGCAGTGGTTTTAAAAATTGTATCTTTTTTCCCCCAAAAAGAAGAGACTGTAGAACAGCTACCTTATCAACCGTATGAAAGACCAAAGCTGTCCTCCAAGTCTCAACACAGACTGGCTATTATTTCTTTAAAAAAATAAACCTTCCCTTTTTCAACAGTGACTCTCTCTCCAAAGTTTCCTATACAGCACCGACACAACTCAAGAGAAAGCTTTCCAAGGAGCCTTCAAACATATCTTACAATTAGTCATTCAAACCCAGCCCATTCCACTGCATCCACAGCGAACTGCCATCACTAAACCACAAGATTCTGATGGCAGTTTCTCCTCCGGTTATCTTTTCTCTAGGGAGACATTCTCTCATCAGAAGGAGGTCAGAACACAGAGCATTTTTCCCTTCATATCACAAGGATGTACGGAACTTCCTTCCAAACGAATAATAGAAAAAAAAATTATGGCGATGGAGTTTGGTTGATTTTAAGCTCTGCTGTCTGAAAACCACAGGCATC